GCTCTAAGCAGTGGAATATGATCTGATTTATGATTCTCAACAACTCTAGCAAGAAAACAAAATTATAATATTTATCTCTGGGTGGTAAGGTTATGAGTGATTTCTAATATCTTCATCCTTCTCTGTATTTTTCAAATTTTTTCTAATGTGCAGTTATCACATTTGTGGTTTAAGAAATTTAGTCAAGTCCTGACCAGTTTGGCTCAGTGGAAGGAGCACTGGCCTGTGGACTGGGTGGTCCTGGGTTCTGTCTGGGTCGAGGGCATGTACCTTTGGTTGTGGGCACATCCCCAGTAGTGGGTATGCAGGAGGTAGTTGATCAATGTTTCTCTCTCATCGATGTTTCTATCGATAGCTCTCTGTCCTTCTCCTTTCCTCTCTGTAAAAAATCAATAAATTTAAAAAATAAAAATAAAAAATTTAGTCAAAAAGGCTTACTGGAAAGCAGTTCAAAGGACAACGAAAGGAAGTATGATTGATGGTGATCCTTGGGCCCCACCCTTCAGAAAGTCTGACCCAGTAAGTCTGAAAGTGTTCAAGGACTCTGAGGCCTTCCTAGGTGCCCCTCTTCCTAGAATGGTTTGGTGGACAGGGAAATGGAAAGGCGAGAACCTGACCAATGTTTTATGGGTAAAATCCACCAGTGACTGGTTGAGAGGGAGATAAGTCTAAAATGAGTGTTGGGTTCCATCTTGGGTGTCTGGCTCACAGTGACCCCTCTCAACCCAACAGGGGACACAGGAAGAGCATAAACACGGGAGGGCAGGTGAATGGGGTATCACAGAAAATGAGTGGCCCACAGCACCAAAAGCCAAGTAATCAGATGACTCGGGTTATAGAGCTAAGAGGAATGACGATTCTTTCCAGAAGCTTGACTCTAAAGAGAAACAATAGGGTAGTAACCAGACAGAGTGTAGGGCTGAAGGAGTGTTGTTTCAGCCAAGGGAAATGAACCAGTGGAGGCTGAGTGGTTGCAAGTACAGATGTTAAGGGGGCTGCTGAGGAGCATGGTCACAAAGTGAGATCATAAGCAGAGGTGGGACTTCACTAGAGAAAGGACATCAGTTCTCTTGGGACTGGGGGCAGAGGCAGCAAGATCCACACGTACAGGCTCTTTTGGAGGTTCATAGTGGGAAGGGGGAGTTCTTGCTTTTGGAATTTTACTACCTCTGTGCATTAGAAGGTGGTTATCTACTGGGGATGTGGATGAGTAAGCAGCTGAAGCAAAGTAGTAAAGGTTTATAATAATCTGAGAAGAATGGTAGAGGCTGCTGATCCAAGATCAGGACTGTTGACTTAACTAGATTTTATAACCACCTTCTCCCCATCATCTGTACATTCCATCTTTTTTTTTTTTTTTAATCTTTCTGAAAGTATTACAGATGTCCCCTCCCCACCCCACCCCCCCTCGCCCCATGACCCTCTCCACCCGGTACTGTCCCCCTCCCTCCCTCCCCTATTTGTTGTGTTTTTTTTTACACCGTGTTCTGCAACCCAAGAAGACATAGGTGGGAAATGAAATCATGCAATTGATTGAGGATTGGGAGTTGGCAGAGTAGGCAAACCTTGAGAATAAGGGCTCTAATGCACGGAGTGTTATGAATGAGAATAGCTTGATACCACACATTGCAAAGGCACAAGTGACTGCTTCTGCTTTGGACATCTTGCCTCACCTCTGCTCAAAATGGTCTCCAACTGTTCCTATCTTACTGCTGGATCCTGCACCTGTGCCAGCTCCTGCAATGCAAAGCCTGCAAATGACCTCCCAGGGGCTGTGCGGGCTGCGCCCGGAGCCGTGTCTGCAGGAGCGTGGGCAATGTGCATGTTGGGGAGAGCTGCTCCCAGCTGGAAATAGAGCATGTTCAAACCTGCATTTTCTTTTCATTCCACCCCGAACTGTTTGCCACATTCCCCTTTTTATGAAATATGAGGGATAATAAAAATTGACTTAAAAAAAAAAAAAAAACACAGTTTGAGTTAATCATAGGGTACTCACTGTGTCAGGCAGAGAATGGAGTTAAAAGAGAAAAAAAAAAAAGTCAAGTAGAAATATCAAGAGATTGGGACCCAAAAGTAAAAAAATAGATTTAGTGACAAAGTAAGAAAACTGGAAAAACAGTCAAATCCTGGCTCTCCTAGTGTCCAGGTTGCTTCCTTCGTGCCTCACTTGTCTTACAAGTAAAACCTATATTTATAAAAGCCTAAGCGATCACTGCAACCTAACGGAGGACCGAACAGGCTGTGTGGGGTGATCAGGCCTGCGGGGGGTGGGGTAGGCAGTTGGGAGGGACTAGACTGGCAAGGGGTGGGGGGCAGTGAGAGATGACCAGGCAGGCAGGCAAGCAGTTAGGAGCCAGTGGTCCCAGTTTGTGAGAACTGAGATCAGGCCTAAACTGGTAGTAGGACAGCCCCCAAGGGGTCCCTGATTAGAGACGATGCAGGCCAGGCTGAGACCACCCCCAAACCCCCATGCATGAATTTCGTGCACTGGGACTCTAGAATATAATACTGGACACTAAACTGGTCTGAGGCCACCTATCACTACTTGAACCAAATTAAGCGGAGACAGGATTGAATCATGTATGAGCACTTATGCCAGTACTGTTGGCAGTATGGAAGAGCAGTCAATCATCCTGAAAATTCTGCTGACCCCCCTTGCCAATTGGCTGGTTATGTGAGTGAGTGAGAAGGTAACTGCATGCAGCTGCAGGTTGCAAGGGAAACAGGGAGAGGGGAGGGAAGGGCTGGGGAAGGTCTGCAGTCCTGCCTTCAGGAGCTCAAAGTCTGATAACGAGGTGGCTAATCTTCTATGATGTTACAAATAGCTCAGCCCATCCCTGGGACCAGAGAATGGTCAGTATTCCTGAGGCAAACTCCCAAAGAGGGGCAGGGTCTGGGCACAGCAACCAAATCAAAGCGTGTCCTGTGCTTGGTCTATTCTCCAAATAAATTTCTCTTCTGAGTAACTGACCCTCCGAGGCATCTTATCTTTTTGTTGTTGTAGTTAATCCTCACCCTAGGATATTTTTTCCATTGATATTTTATTTTATTATTGATTTCAGAGAGGGAGAGATAGAAACATTAATGATGAGAATCATTGATTGACTGCTTCCTGCATGCCCCCACTGAGAATCAAGCCCACAACCCGGGCATATGCACTGACTAGGAATCAAACTGTGAGTTCCTGGTTCATTGGTCCATATACAACCACTGAGCCATGTTAGCCGGGCTCCACTGTTTTTTAGAGAGAATGGAAGGGAGGGGGAAGAGACAAACATGCAAGAGACACATCTGACTGGTTGCCTCCTGCGCATGCCCCAACCAATATCAAGGATTGAGTTTGAAATCGAGGCACATGCTCTTGCCCAGAATTGAACCCGCAACCCTTCAGTCCACAGGCTCTATCCACTGAGCAAAATCGGCTAGGGCAGTGATTGGTAAACTCATTAGTCAACAGAGCCAAATATCCACAGTACAATTAAAATTTCTTTTGGGAGCCAAATTTTTTAAACTTAAACTTCTCCTAATGCCACTTCTTCAAAATAGACTCGCCCAGGCCATGATATTTTGTGGAAGAGCCACACTTAAGGGGTCAAAGAGCCGCCATGTGGCTCGTGAGCCGCAGTTTGCCAACCATGGGGCCAGGACATGGCATTTTATCTTTTTCCAGCCTTGTTTCATCCTCCAGTTTCCCAGGGTTGTAAGAAAACCTCTTGCCTGGCCAGCATGCCTCAGCGGTGGAGCATCTACTTATGAACCAGGAGTCATGGTTCGATTCCTGGACAGGGCACATGCCCAGGTTACAGGCTTGATCCCCAGTAGAGGGAATAAAATAAGCCTATCAGTGATTCTCTCTCATCATTGAGATTATTTCTCTCTTTTTCTCTGAAATCAATAAAAAATATATTAAAAAATAAAAATATATTTAAAAAGAAAACCTCTTATCTATAGTTAGTAAGGTGAATAATTAGTAAGTATTCTTAGTACGTGCCTTTAACCCATCAGAAGTAATAGCGCCTGCACCTAAAGTGCTTGGAACAGGGCCTGCCACATGGACCACAGCATCACTTAAATTCAGCATCATCATCATTTCTCATTTGAACAATGAGGGGGCCTGTAACAGTCTCTAAAGCAGAGATATTCTCAAATGTCTTGGCCTATGAACACCTTTACACGCTTAAAATGATTGAAGATGCCAAAGAACTTTTAAAAATGTGTAGTTTACCTATTGATTTTTTAATCTCTTAAAACTATTTCTTAGTAACGTAAGTATTTTTAAGAAACGTAACTTAAAAAAAAAATAAATATATAAAAGTGTGACACATTGTGCAAATACCTTTAATGTTTGGCTTAATTAAAAACAGCTGGATTCTCAGCTTCTACATGCAGCATACTGAGGTGTGCTGGTTGAAGGATATAAAAAAAACCCAAGCACCTCACTGACCTTCTAACAGGGTCTGGAAGACCCTGGACCACACTTTGAGAACTTTTTCTAAAGTTTTCTCCCAGCTTTAAAGCACTTATTCATCCATCCATTCAGCACCACTTTATCCCAGAGGCAGAAACAAAACATATGGCTGTCTGTCCTGGAAGAATTGAAAATTCTTAAGAGAAGAGATGAAAATTAATGAAAATGACAGCACAGCATAAGTGAACACAGGAGGAAGTTGCTGAGAGGCAAGGAAGGTGGAAGAGAGTACAGGAAATTGGAATTTGGGCTGTATTTCTTGCAAGAGACTATGCGAAGGCCCAGCGGCAGGAATCAATCTGGTACAAGAAAGCCCAGGGTACATTGGCAGAGGAAGGAAGTCTTTTCCAGAGGATGGGAAAGGTTGTTGGGCCTCAAGATGATAAGTTAAATCTCACCCTCAGGAGGCTGGGGTAAGGAACTTGTTTTCCCCTTTTCTGCCAGGTTCATTGAGGTATAATTTACACAGAAAATATTTTACCTTTTTAGGTGTAGTATAGTTCTGTAAGTCATGACATAGGTACAGTAAACAATGACACAATCAAGACATAATATATTCTCATCACCTCAAAAAGTTCTCTTCGGCCAATCCCCAACCTCCACTCCTTTGGCTGCAGGCAACGATTGGCCTGATTTCTGTTCCAACAGTTTTAATTTTTACTTTGAAATAATTATACACTCATTGGACGTTGCAGAGAGGGTCCATGTACACAAGCTCCAGCTCCTTCCAGTACTAACAACTTCAGATTCCACCAGTGCTTATGTGCATCAGCTCACTTTAAGGAACATAATCGGGCCGTCTGTGCAAGCTGGGCTGATGAAGCAAGGTCATGGAAGAACTCAAGGAGGTGCAGGGAGAGGAGAGGACTGAAGGAAACATTCCTGGAGAACAGGCATTATCTGATGAACAATTTGTATGAGTATTTAAGTTCATCCCTTTTTCGGAAATGAACTCTCCTATAGGGCAGGACAGCAAGCAGGTTGTTAGAAGTTGAAGGGCCCGACCTTTGACTGAATTGAGGAAATGTTTCTTCCAGTCATGATATTCCTGCTTACTCTTAAATAGGAAAAAAAAAATTTTTTTTCTCAGTCATTTTCTTCATTTTCTTACTTTTGCATGATCGGAAACAATGAAATAACTGTCAAAGACCAGATATTACCTTGAGATGTAGACCCTTACCTATTGGCTCTCACGAACAGAATTAACTAACTCCCCAAAACCAAAACAAACTAAACTATATTTTCTTTTTCTTTTTTTCTTTTTTTTTTTTTTAAATATATTTTATTGATTTTGTACAGAGAGGAAAGGAGAGAGATAGAGAGCTAGAAACATCGATGAGAGAGAGTCATCGATCAGCCGCCCCTTGCACACCCCCCACTGGGGATCTGCCCGTAGCCAAGGTACATGCCCTTGACCGGAATCGAACCCGGGACCCTTCAGTCCCCAAGCCGACGCTCTATCCATTGAGCCAAACCGGTCCCGGCTAAACTATATTTTCATTGCTTCCTGGAGTTCTGTACTTTTGTTGGTTCTCCCACCTGCTTCAGCCTTGCATCTGACTGTGGTACTAATAATGCCTGTAACAACGTATTTACAAATATCATTTGCTCATCCCAAGACTGGGTGCTATCTTCACTTTTACGGTCCGAGACATTGAGACTCGTGTTTGGTACCCAGGACCACACACACGCACACTGTAAAAAAATTAGAAAGGTGCTGGCACCGGGGATGCATGCTGTCACGTTAGCGAGCCTTGTCCAAAGCCTGTTTCTCTCCATCCCAATTATGGCCGGCACGTACCGCTTTCTCCCACAGCTGAGGCGGACTAAATTTAGACAAAAGCTCCATCCATGCCATGGAAGTGTTTCTGGTGACAAAATCTGCACTTAAAACCCCAGTTTGTTTAAACCTTACTCCGGCTGCCACCTAGTTTACCACTAGTTATAACCAAACACAGCCCTGGGGTACCTCTGAGTGATCTTGTATCTATTCATGACGAGCTTTTAAATACTTATCTTTAAAATCAGGAAGTATCTTAAAACCCAGATTTAATGAAATATGCTAACATAATGTTGTGTGTGTGTGTTTTACCGTGCCCTGGACTAGATATTTTATTAACACTTAATATTCAACCCTCCAAATACCTCCCTGTGAATAACATCATCGTTAATAAAGCAGACAGGTCCTTCTGACCCAATTCCAGTCAACTCGGCCCCGAGTCACAGTTCCGTTTTATGCAAACACAACACAAAAAACAATCCCAAACATAAGGGGGTACATTAAAAATAACAACCACGAACAAACAAAAACGGCAAGACTCCGAGGCTCAGCACAGCTCCACATCCTGCCCGAGCTCACCCCGAGAGCATCAGCCCCGAAATCCTCCAGCTCCATCCGCTTCCACCAACCCCGCCGCCGCTGCCACGTGATGGGGCAGCACCAGCTCCGTTTTGCAGAAGCCGAGCCTGGAAGCAAGGCGGGCGGGGCGGAGGGTAAACAAGTAATGGGAACAGAACCAAACGTGCAGGAGAAAGGAGCGCACCTCCACCGCCCCCCCCCCAAAAAAACCCTAGTTTTCAAAGCAGAGCGTTCGGGGTGCGCCGGATGCCGGATACCCTCCGCGCGGGTCCCGCCGGACGGCGGAGTCTTCGGAGAAGATGGTTCCGATCCGGCGACCTTGGGGGCCCCGCTGCCACCCCGCCGCCTCCGGCCTCCTCCCGCGAACGCGGCCGCAGGGCCGGGCCACACCCGAGGCGGCCGCCCGCTCCCCCGGGGGCGCTGCTCAAACACACACGCGCGCACGTGTCCCGGGCGGCCCCGCAGCCCGGCGCCCGAGTGGGGCCCCCGCAGCCGCCGTCACCGCCGGCCGCCCGCGGTGCAGCCCGCCCGGCCCCGGGAGGCCCCGCAGGGCGCAGGGCGGCGCGGCAGCCGGAGCCGGGCCACGCGGGCGCCGCACTTCCTCTTCCTCCCCCCCGCGCGGGCGAAGGGGCGGCCGGAGCGAGGCCCCTCCGCGAGCCGCCGCCGGCCCCGCCGCGCCCCCGCCGCCGCCGCCCCCGCCGCGCCCTCGGGCCGCGCGGCCTCCGGGTGGCTGGGCCCCGCGCGGGCAGCGAGAGGCGGGGCCGCCGTGCGGGCGGCGGAAGGAGGCGGAGGAGGAGGAAGAGGAGGCGGAGGCGGCGGCCGGGAGCGGGGAGAGGGCGGGGGGCGGGCCGGGGAAGGGGAGGAGCGGGATTTCAGGAGCGCGGCGCCGCAGCCGGGAGCCGGCGGCCCGAGAGTGACCGAGTCACGGCGGCCGCCGGGGGAGCCGCGGCGTCAGACCCGCCTCCTGGAGCGCAGCCCCGGCCAGGCCCGGCCCCGTTCCCGCCCCGCGCCGCCTCCCCGCCGCCGCCGCCGCCGCCGGAGCGCTCCTGCCCACCCCGCCCCCGCGGCCGAGCCCGGGAGACGAGTGGGAGTCGGCCGCCGGCGCGGGCACCGGGACCCCGCGGGGGACACTGCAGCCGGAGCCCGGAGGCCGCGCCGCCGCCGTCTCAACTAGGATGTCCCGACATGAAGGTGAGCGCCCCCCCTCCCGTCCCCCCGCCGGGCCTCGGCCTACCCTCCCGGGCCGCGCGCCACGGGGGGCGGCCGGCCGGAGGCGGCGGGGACGGCGGCCGGGCCAGCCGGCCCCGAAACGCCCGGCCCGGGAGCGAGCGGGCCCGGCGGAGAGCCCGGCGCCTCCGCGGTGGCCGCCGCGGCCCGGCCGGGAGCTGGGCCTGGAGCCGGAGGCGGGGCGGCGGGCCGGCGGAGGGTTTGCACTGTCATGGGGAGGGGGAGGGGAGGCGCGGGGCCCGTTACCGGCGGGGGCCCGGCCCCGGGAGCGGATACCGGACGCCGCGGGGCCGCCCGGCCGGTGCCGGAGCCGTGGGCCCCGCCGCGGCCTAGCGCGCCCGCCACCCCGGAAGGGCCCGGCGCGGCCGCCGCCGAACAGGCCACCGGCGGAGGCGGGAGGCCGGGGAGCCCGGCCCGGGATCGGCGGGCGCGTCCGGTCGCCGGGAGACGACAGCGAGGGACCCTGCGTGCGGGAGGCGGCGGGGCGGCGGGAAGGCGCCGCGGCCGGGGACCGAGAGAGCCCCGCCGCCGCCGGCCTCGCGGCTAGGCCTCGGCGCGGCCCTGGGCTCGGGTAACCCAGTTCCCCGGGCGGGTCCGGCCCGGCCCGGCCGCGGCGGCGAGCAAACTCCCTGCCCCGTCACCTGGTCGGACGGGCTGGCTCCCGCGGCCGGCCGGCTCCCGGCGTGCACCACCCCGGAGCCCGGCTTTGGTAAATGACCTGGCGAGGTCTCTTCATGGTCAAGGGGGGGCATGTGGGGCTTGGTTTTGAGGCTTAAAAACATGATCGGGGCGCAGTTGCAAATAAGTAGGCAGCTCTATCTAGCCCAGTCCCGGCCGGGGCACAAAGAGAAACACACGTCCAGGGCACATGTATAAGGCGTTGTGCTGGTTAAAAATAAATAAATAAATAAGTTAACTTCAGTTTACTGCCATATGGTTTAGAAAAGGGGGACTAAGGGGGTCGTGTTCTCTTTGTTTCCCTGCCACGGGTCTTCAAATAAAAAAAAAATATTAAGAGACTTGGCGAATACTTGAGCCTGGTCAGGTCAATGCAACATTGTAGAAGTGGCCGGAAAGTATAGTGTGCACTCTCAAGTTTAAAATCCTGTGTGGTGGGTAGGTGATGTGGGGAGGAGGAGTGGAGAAAGTTTAGGGAGTCAGATGAGTGTGTGCTTTCACACCCGTTGGAAAGGTATTCTTAGGGAAGGAAATACAGGCCTTAGGATTTTGAGGTTGAAAAACTCAGATTGATTTAAAATGGTACAGAGAGCAAATTGCATTACTAATTGCAACGTTGAGATTGACTCAGAGAATATTTTTGTATTCAAGGATTCCGTATTTTGAACGTCCAAGGTGAATTGGAAATACAATGCACTTTTTTCACTTACTGTGTACAACTGTGGACATTTTGAAATAATAATGTGCTTAGGCTCATAGGAATAGTTTGAAACAATACCTAGTTTTCCTCCCCCCCCACCACTTATTGGAAATATATTCCCTATCTGTAATTTAAAAGAAATTCTAATTGAAATTCTAATCAAATTTGGAATATTAAAGTTTACATTAGACTTTACTTGTGTGTATGTTGATCATTTGCAAGACAAACAATTTGAGCAGCAGCTCCAGGCCCCTCTCACTCATAAGAACAGGAGAGTTAAAATTATGGTATCAAAGCGATGGGAAAACTGGAGTTTGAGACCCATTCTCCTTGCTTCAGGAAAACATGCAAGTAGTTCCAAACTGAGTAATTCAAATGGAGTAGTATCCTTTATCCATAGTAATCTTTGAGAACACCAATTTTCAACCAGTGTGCTACAAGGATTTTTAAAACATGCAATATCTGACTAGTCAGGTGCACTGGTCTCTTTTCCCTTATATTATGCAATTTAAAAAAATGACAAGACCCAACACAGCAGTAGCTGTCTGGTGTGAATTAATCAAAATTATACCTTTTTTTTTCTTCTCTTTTTTTTGTCAGAGTGGCAAAATATTTCTTAGTGTTCTCCAAATTTTAGTAATTAGTGTGTGCCATGAGTTGGAAAAAGTTAAAAATCGCTGTTTTAGAGTAATTAAAATCCCACAGTGACAGTATTTTTGAGTATAACAAATCTGTAATCTAAGCCCATTTTCCCTGTGGAAAAGCATGTGGATTAGAAACTTACAATACTTTTTAGTTGTTGAATATTACTGAATCTTAGGACATTAATAGCACACCTTTTCTGGTAACTTACATAACACCAGATATTTCTGAAAAAGGAACATTCTTGTAATACATCAGTTGAAGACTGTAGTACAGTATTTAACAAGTGATCTTTTAACGGTTTAATTTATATCTAAGGGTCTAAGGCAGGAATGACAGTCTCATTAAGAATCACATTTAATTCATTAGATGTTTTGTAGCATATTAGTTCAGGTTGCCATTACTTTCATCATTAGGAATTCAACCTAACAATGAATACAGTTTGACACCCTTATTGTTCTAGCTTTTTTTACCTCTCTCTTTGACCTACTAATCCTATTTCTTTTAACTATATTTTATTGATTTCAGAGAGGAAGAAGAGGGAGAGAGAGATAAAAACATCAGTGATGAGAGAGAATCATTGATCGGCTGCTTCCTGCAAGCCTCACACTTCGGGATTGAGCCTGCTACCGCAGCCCAGGCATGTGCCCTGACGGGGAATCAAATGGTGACCTCCTGGTTTATAGATTGATGCTCAACCGCTGAGCAACGCCAGCCTAGCTAATCCCATTTCTTTTAGCATTTCAGTGGTATTAATCTGTCCACCTTCAAATTCTCTGTAGTTCTTGTTTCCTTTCACTAGTGTATCCCAGAACTGGATGTAGTAGTAGTCTGGTGCACTGTGCTGCAGGTAATGTACTTGCATTGTGTTTCCTTTTCAGTACCTTCTGTGTGGAGTAATTTGTTACTTTGTCTTTGTGCCCACCTTAATGAGTAGCACTAATGTATCTATATGTAAGATGTAACTTTGGACAACACAGCTCCAAGATGAACATCTATCAAGCTTAGACTCTCTACATTGTGAAGCAGTGGACTGACTACCTCTGAGAAAGGAGAAGCAGCCAGAAGCATAGAATGCCTTAGCTCAGGGGTCTGCATAAGTCTTCTGAGAAGGGGCAGGTAGTAAATATTGTGGTTTGGTAAGCCATGAGGTCAGCTCTGCCACTGTAGTATAAATGCAGCGTTAGCCAACATGTAAATGAATGAGCACAACCATGTTCTAATTAAAACTTTTATTTATAGACTGACATTTCAATTTCATGTAATTTTCATGTGTCATGAAATAAGACTCAGGTTTACCATTTAAAAATGTAAAACCATTCTTAGCTTGCAGACCTTACATAGAAAGTGGCTGAATTTGGCCCAGTTTGGCCCAGGGCTATAATTTGCCTTCTTTGGCTCTAGACTAAAGCTTTGGAGAGTTTATGGAAATAGAATTTTGTATTCCCTCATTTCCTTTGGTGTAATGGGGCTGTATCTATGGACCAAAGATACCGTTCTGTACCTCAGTTTCCAGCAGCACTGTGCAGATTGGGATGGAAGTAATTGTTCCCAGATTTGGAAACAGGCTCCTCACCTTTCCAGAACCTGAGTGGGATGGCAGACCCTCCATTGTCTCCTGCTTGGCCAATTAGTTAATGTCCACTATTACAAAGTGCCCAATTACTTAATGTTCACTATACAAATACCATGTTACACGTGGCAAAACCAATTATTTTCTACTTTATTTGTAAGAATATCTTTTAATATTTCACTACATACAACACATCTAAGTACTTATTAGCTAAAATGAAGTTGTTAATGCTCTTGCATGAATTGGAACCTAATTGACTACCTAAAGTTAGGAATACTCTTACTGTCTTAAGACATTCAACCTTTTTTCAATTGCTACTATGTGTTAGGCACTTTGCTGGATACCAAGGAATGTGAGGATAAATGATACGAAGCTTCTTACTTTAACTATAGCACAATGTGAGACATGCCATAAGAAAAGGACAAACAAATTGATGACAATATTACCATTTTTCATAATTTCAGAGACAATCTATTGTAATTTCTAACACTCTTTTTCTCTTAAATATGTTTTTACTGATTTGAGAGAGGAAGGAAAAGTGGGAGAGAGAGAAACATTGATGTGAGAAACATTGATTGGCTGTCTCCCTTCCATGTCCTAACCAGGAATTGAACCTGCCAACTTTTGGTGCATAGGACTATGCTCAGCTAACTGAGCCACACTGACTAGGACTTACTTGAGTGCTGTCTTAACTTTTGGTGGGTTACTCTTGGGTTTGGATAAAATTACTTACTACAAATACTGTACAGTCCTTATCTTTACCTGATTTATGCTTTCCCTAGTTTTGAAGATTTCCATATGTAAAAATGATAGTGGATAAATGGACAGGTGATCATATTGTTTTGTTATTCTCAGAAGCATTTGTGATACTGCTTATTTTTTTAATGTAAAGTACAAGAGTGAGCAGGCCATTAATCTAATTTCTGAAAGTTGTACCATTTTTTTTTTAAATTGTACCGTTCTTCTGTTAGTAGATTCAAATTTCCTCTTTTCTAAAAATTGTCTGACACTAAAAACATATATAAACAATTCCAGAGTGAATTGCAATAATTTTGTTTTCAGAATTTGGGGATTACAAAGACAAGATTGGTAATTAACATGTGATTTTAATGTGGTGACTTTTGCCTTCTATAGCAAAGTAAAATTAACTCCCACTGAAAAGATCTTTATTATGTCAGTTTATTTTACTTTAACTGTATTGTATAAAAGGATCATGACATTCTTATACTTTTTCAATTTCAATACATCATGAATTATACTTAACTTGACTTTCAATAAAAGAAAGATAAGAATGTAAATATTTTAACTTTTGGAGTCTTTGATTCATGATTTCATATAAAGTTGATTTTGAGGCCTATTTTTTCTATATTGACATTTGTGTTTTATTGCAAAAAAATATAACTTTACTCTCTTTTAAGTTGGAGATTTAATTTGGAAAGAATTCCTTTTAGTTTTAGAATCTTAAGCTGTATTAGCAGCAAACTTGTTAAAAGATAAAATATTTTTTTCACAGTAGAAACTTAGGAAACTTCTGATATGAAATGACCAAATAAGTTTCTTCATATTAGGCTTGTAGTGTTTTTTAAAAATCCATGGCCTTATGAGTCATCAGCTCTATAGCATCTATGTACATTTGCTGAGGTTTGGTGGTTTTCTTTTTAATCCTCCTCACCCAAGGATATGTGTGTGTGTGTGTGGGGGGGGGTGTTTGTTTGTTTTTTTATTTTAGGGGGAGAGGAAGGGAATGAGAGAAAACCATTAATCCTTTGTCTCCCGTACTTGCCTTGACCTGGGATCGAACCAGCAACCTTTTTGGTGTACCAGACTACTCTCCAACCAACTATGCCACCCAGCTGGAGCTGTTTTCATTTTTTAAATGGAGGTTCCAAAAGTTGTTTTTAATGAAGGTTAAGGCATCATTGGATTATTATAGAAATAGTGTTTTTTAATTACATTATAAATACTGCTTTTGGGCTGCTGGC